AGAATATTTGGGTTTTGTGGGGTTTTTTGATGATTTCTCCCAAATCCTGGGGATAAAAAAAGGAGGTGGATTTTCCTCACCTGGAAGATGTGTTTGATGCAGACAAACAAAACAATAAAAAAATAAAACAAATTTGGAAATATTTCTGATATTTTCTCATCCAGAATATTTGGGGGTTTTTATTTTCCCAAATTAGTTAAAACCTCTGTGACCTGTGGGGGATTTGTGATGTTTCTTGATGAGTTCTCCCAAATCCTGGGAGAAAAAAAAGGAGGTGGATTTTCCTCAACAGGAAAACGATGTGGTTTGGGAAGATGTGTTTGATGAAAACTGAAGCAAACAAAACAATAAAAATATAACAAATTTGGAAATATTTCTGACATTTCCTCATCCAGAATATTTGGGTTTTGTGGGGGTTTTTTGATGATTTCTCCCAAATCCTGGGGATAAAAAAAGGAGGTGGATTTTCCTCACCTGGAAAACGATGTGGTTTGGGAAGATGTGTTTGATGCAGCGAACGAAATATTCTGTTTCTGCTTCTGTCAGCTGCACTGCCTCTGAGGATTTGAATAAAGGACCCAGGCCCTTGAATTCTGGGATGGCTGCCAGTTGTTCTGGGAAGGATGGAAAAAAACGGGATCAGGCTCTGGTGATGATCCCAAAAGCTCAGGGAATCCTGGAAAGGTTTGGGTGGGATGGGATGTTGAGGATAATTCACTTCCATCCCCTTTTCCACTCTCCCAGGGTGCTCCAAGGCCTGGTTTTGGGTAATTCCAGGGATCTGGGAATTCTGTGAATTCCAGCCCAGCCAGGAATTCCTTCCCAAATCCCAAATCCCTGATCTCTCCTACCTTGGAAGATATCCTGGCGTGAAGGAGCCACTTTCTCAGGTTTGCTGGGCACCAGGGCAATCTCTGGGGAGACAAAAACAGCAAAGATTAATTAATTAAAAGCAATTAAACCATGCAGGTTTAAATGCCACTAAATATTCTATTTTATATAATAAATATTTAATATTTTTAATTAAATATTCCCCACTGACAGCCTGGCTCCTCACACAATGAAATATCTTTTTTTTTTGATCTTTGGTGTGGAAATGCTGGATTGAAAGTTGAAGAAATAAGTCTGAGTTAATAGGAATAAAACACACTTTAACCCTGAAGAGCTTGCAAAAAAGAAAGAAAAAAAATTTTAAAAAAGAATGAAAAAAAAAGATAAAAAGGCAAAAAAGGAGAAGAAAGTAAGAAAAAAAATAGAAAGAAAAGGAAGGAGAAAAAAAGGAAGGAGAAAAAAAGGAAGGAGAAAAAAAGGAAGGAGAAAAAAAGGAAGGAGAAAAAAAGGAAGGAGAAAAAAAGGAAG